GAGGGGTTTCGGGGGGGGGAGGGGCTTCACCCGGGGGCCCCCCAAATTGGAACCCCCCCCCCGGGGGGGGGGGGGGGGGGGGGGGGCGGCGTCGGCGTCCCCGCCCCCAAGCTGTTCCGCTTCACTGGGAGGCCGCAGGATACATCGCCCAAGGCTTGGGTCAAGTCGACCCTTTTCGGCTACCGTCCCCCTTTCGACAGGTAGACCACATGCTGTGTGTTGGTATCGTGCTGTCGGCGGTGTGGATGTCAGTTCACCTCGTTGTGGTAGATTTTTTTTTATGGGGAGGGGGGGGGGCGTTGGGCGTTGGGAGTGGGCAGCAATATCGCGATAATGTATTGAGAAGGCGGCGGCAGATATGTAGTGGACGATTGCAGGCGAGGATTCCTGAGCACGACTACCATCGCACGGGCACCGGAGCTGTACAGCTTGGCCGTTCGATAGCCGTCAATGCCAGCACCAAGTACGCGCGCAGAGCCACCTGCTGAAGTCTGCGCACAAAAGGCAGGGAGCATGCTCGTGACAGCATTGAACACGACACACTTCATTGTCTTGCCACGACGCGCTTGTTTGTTTCGCCCCTTCCCACCCCACCCAAACATCTCGTTTCTCGTGCGCTTCTCCCCCCCGGCAGACACGATTGGGTGGTGAAGAGGGCAGACGGCACCGAGGCACGGTACGTGATCGACTTCTACGCGGGGAAGGCTCCCCCCGGCTCCAGCATGCCGGTGGCGATGCACTTGGACGTGCGACCCGCTCTCGATTCCTACGATGTAAGTCAGGCATTTACACACGAGCTTTGTTCCAGGTCGTTGGTTCTTGTTGTTGTCTACTTTATCGTTAGTTGTGTCTGCCTTCGAAGGCGTGCCGTCACGGCACGTGCATGTCGGGCACCGCAAACGTTGTTGTCGGACGTTCCCAGTATGGCGGCGACGATGTGCCCGTGGAGGCCGTTTGTTCCCTAGGATATCATCATCCGCGCAGGGGGAAAAAACTCCCTCATCAAAACGTGTTTCGAGACCTCCACAAAGCGAGAGAGTTAATTCTAGCATCGATCGCAAGGTCAGTTCGATGCATGCACATGCCTTTATGAGTGATCACGAGAACTGCACGAGCTCTCATGTGTATCCCCCCGAGGGTGTTTCCGCTCGCAACACAGACGGCTCTCCCCCGCTATTCTTTTTTCTCTGTTTGGCAAGAGACCGTCACCGTTGCTTCCGTCCCCTTTTTTTTTTTTTTTAGCAAGCATGGACCAATGACCGCTGCTTCCCTCCCCAAAACGTGGATGGTGCCGTTTGTCGTCCGAACTGGCACACACTGAAGGCGGTCGTGGACCGGACGCGGATGTTCTATGGCAGGGAGGTCCGCCCCTACCTTGCCGGGGTGCTGGACGCTTTCAAGAACGACCCGGGGCCGCCGCCGTCGGATCAGGATGCGCCGCCGCCGCCTCCCTCCGTGGCGCGGTGACACGGCGCGGGACTGTTGTGCTTGATGCTGCTGCTGCTGCTGCTGCTGCTGCCAACAGATCTCTGCTCGGTGGTTAGTGCTCCAGCATTGTTGTATGCCTGAGGGCACTGTTGGTGTTGCTGCTGCTGCTGCCGCTGTCAATAGCTCAGGGGCACTCCAGCTCTTGTTTGCCTGAGGGCGTTGTTGCTGTTGTTGCTGCTGCCAACAGACAGCTCGGTGGATGGGGAAGGGGCTGTGTACGTGCGCACGTACTTTTTTTGTGGGCGAGCATTGCCCCGGATGACTGTCACTTGTGTCACTCATTCCCTGGGGGTATGACGAGGCAATACAAGCACATTGAGTTGACGGTTGGACCTGTGCGTCTTTCTCGTTCTGCCCTCACGCGCATGTTGTGTTGTAGCAGCTACAGTAGCTGTTTGTGCAAAGCATGTGA